GTGTGTGTGTGTGTGTGTGTGTGTGTGTGTGTGTTCTCCTGGCCGTCTACTTGTGTTCTTTAGTGGGGGCAAAGTAGAGCTCCATGGGTTTGTTGACCTTCCAGTACTTTTCACTGACCAGCTCCAGGGAGAAGGACCCGTTCAGGACCTGTGGACAGAGTTCAACACGTCATTTCACAAACACACTGATCACACAGTATTTTGAGTGTAGCCACTGTTGTTACTGTGAACATAGGAAAGCTAAACCTGCTGTCTCACCTTTGTGCACATTTACAACATCGTGCGTCTACATCAAATGTGCCCGTGTTTTACATCATTTCCTCAAGGATTAAAAAAGGGGAATAAATGGTTAGCGCCCCCTAGTGTGGTGCCTTGGTGACTACAGCCAACATGAATTCTTCCACTTTAAAAATAAAACCACAAAGCTAAACTGGTATACGAATAATAATTCTATACTATAAAGCTGGTTTCATTTGTGTGCCCGCCCCTAACACTGTAACAAAAACATGGGCTGGAAAAATTAAAAACTAATGGCCACCAGATTATCAGACTGTGGGTGCAAAAAGTCTTCTGGTCTTACAGAAGTCTGTGGGACAACAGCCTTCAGTCCACGTCTGTGTGTGTGTGGCTAAATCAGCCAATCACAGTGAAAAAGACAGGATATGTTTAGTAAAGCTGAGTGTGTCTGTGTGCTCACAGTGAACTGGTTTCCAGCTGTAGGTATGTAGATGGTGTACTGTTTCTCTGAAGCTGCCTCCACATTAACAGGACTGGCTTCAGCGTTTCTCCTCAGCTCCTCCAGAGCCAGTCGCACAGCCAGGTATTTAGACAGGTGATCCACTGTGGCGTTCCCGGAGGTCTTTATGTAGCGAGGGACAAACTCCACACTGTGCAGACACAGAAGCACTCGTGTGAATGTGTGCATAGGGTGTGTATTATATTGAAATGGATGTGTCAGCAGCAATGACTACCTGTTGTGACCGTCATCCTTCTCCATCAGGGTGGGGTGTGGCCTAAAGACCAGCTCTATTTCACTGGCACCCCCATCAATCACCGAGTCCCCGCCCCCGTTCTCTGCGGCGTTATCCATGTCCAAACCGCTGTCGTCGCTCGTCTTGGTGCGCTTGATGCTCGGCCCGGCCTCCTGCAGAACCACAGTTAAAGATGAAGCGAGATCACC